GCAGTTTCATCAAAATGGCCGACTGAGGAATTCTGGAAGTCCGCCAGTCATAAAAGGGCCAAGTTTGAAGACCCCTGTCTTAAAGTATCCTGGCGGAGGAATTCTGGGAGTTGAAGTCCACCAGTCATAAAAGGGCCAAGTTGGAAGACCCCTGAGAGTCTGGATCCAAGCCTGCAGTTTCATCAAAATGGCCGACTGAGGAATTCTGGGAGTTGAAGTCCACCAGCCATCAAAGGGCCAAGTTGGAAGGCCCCTGGTCTGGATCCAAGCCCACAGTTTCATCAAAATGGCCGACTGAGGAATTCTGGGAGTTGAAGTCCACCAGTCATCAAAGGGCCGAGTTTGAAGACCCCTGGTCTGGATTTAAAATTCTTTCGAGTCCCTTGGGTCTCCACAACAGAGCAGGAAGGAGAGAGAATGCAGGCGTGCTGTCCTTTGAATCGAGGTGAACCTTTGCAAGACTTTGCATGTCTGCAGGTGACGCCAGGGGAGTGGCCCAACACCTGCGTGCAATACGACCAGCCGTGCTTTTCAATATTATTAAAATTAAACCGTTGGGAGCGACTCCCACTCAAAACCCTCGGCAGTAACGCAGGTGCAACTTTCTACGCCCTGGCCGTTTGCTTCAGAGGTTTAGCTAAGGCAGTGTTTCTCAACCTTGACAATTTTAAGGCATGTGGACTTCAACTCCCAGAATTCCACAGCCAGCATTGCTGGCTGTGGAATTCTGGGAGTTGTAGTCCACATGCCTTAAAATTGTCAAGGTTGAGAAACACTGAGCTAAGGGGAAGACCTGCCTTAAGCCGACCCCTTCAGGTCAGCGGTGGTCGCCCATCTTCTTACCTGGAGTCTCCACTCTCTGGTAATGGTAAGGATTGACACACACTTCATCCTTCTTAAGATTAAAAGCATATTCACAGTTTTCAATGGCCTTAAGTTCGTGGTGGCTGTGGAGGTCGGGCCAGCGCCACAAGCGGCAGTAAATGACGTGCGGCAACCCTTTGCGGTGGGACACCTGGAGGCGGCCATCAAGAGACCTAGAGAGAGGGGAAAGGGGGGGGGAGGTGGGAGGGAGAGGAGAGAAACATTCCAGAATGTTCTGAGTTGTTGACTTGCAGCACTTTTTTCAAAGGTGACTTATTCAGAACTACGGGGCTTAAGAGCCAGCCTGGCGTCCTCTCCGAAAAAAGAATAACGCAACAGACGCTTAATATCCCTTCAGTGTGATGGGTTGTGGTTTTTTGCAATAAGAGGTTTAGTGCAAACACTGGCCCTTGAATCCGAGAATCGGTGTGTGACATTAATGGCTGGACGATAAATAAGCCTGATCATCAGCAACATTTAAAACTAGGCTAAAACAGAAAATTATGGCTGTTAAGACTGCGCACAAAGTTACGGCAGCCGGATACCAAAGGAATTCACATTGCATTGAAAAAAATAAGGATTTCTCCAGCTGAGCTACTTTTTAAGACCTGTAGACTTCAACTCCCAGAATTCCCCAGCCAGCAGGGCTGGCTGGGGAATTCTGGGAGTTGAAGTCCACAGGACTTAAAAGCGGTTAAGGCTGAGAAAACTACGGGCCCAGAACCTCGCAGCTTCCACCAGACCTGCTTGTCTGAACCGGTGCGCCAGCCCTGCAATAATCCCTTGCTCCTACCAGTTGAACAGTTTTGCTAGTTTTAAGATAAAGGCTGCCCGGGCCTGCACAGATGCGGATGGATTTATGACTTCATGGGATGGGAAACACAAAAAAATCTCAGCACACAATGCAAATAGGGTGACGTGGGGTGTGGGGTGTGGGGAGAGTGGACGGTGTCAAAAGCCAGACAAGCTGCTTCCTTGTCTCTGAGTGCACGTACCGAATTTTTTTTTCTTTTCTTTTTCTTTTTTAAAAAAACCATAAAAACAAATCTATAGTGGTGTTTTTTTAAAAAAATCAATAAAATGAGTGAACTCCGGGATATAAAATAGCCTTTTTTTTATGACTGAGCTTTCGTCAACTTAACTGTTGACGTCATCAGAGTAAAGGGCTGAAGTTTTTAAGAAGAGACTGGACAGCCATTGGTCTGAAATGGTATAGGGTTTCCTGCCTGAGCAGGGGGTTGGACTAGATGACCCCCATGGTCCCTTCCG